GATATAGTGGCAACCTGAGGTGAGCCACTTTTGGGGTTACAAGATTCAATGGCTGAGATTGTCCCTGCGTGTCAGCCCTCAGTGTTCATCCCTAAGGCTAGATCATTGGATTCTTGGTGAGCCTGGTCTCTGGATGCTGCTATTAAATGTCAAGTACCTGAGTAATAAATCCTCAACCATGACTTAATCATAGAGGAGCCAGCCAACCTGGCCTGAACAACTGAGACCTGGGTATGCTGGGGAAGGGGTCTCTTCTCAGAAATAGGCCCACATGGGTTTCATGTTTGGCATCAGCTGCAACCCCAGGGCAAGAGAGAGGGATGGCAGTTATCCATGAAGCTTTGACAGCTATTGGGCTCTAGAGAGCAACTAGATCAGCCTTCCTGCTGCACAACAGCAGCTCTGCCTGAGCTGCTGGATTATATTGCCAGTCAACTGTTGACTCTCCAAGGCTGTGAGTGCTTGGGGATTCTAACCTGACCCCACCATGGCAAACATGGACCTGTCTCAAATTATTAAGGGTCCGATGCATACCACAGGTCACGTTAGATCTGTTTTTTGCCTTGGTGCAGTTGCAACATGATCTGAAAATGGAGGACATTACCATCAGTCCTCTGCCATGCTCAAATCACTCTTGGATTGCCTTTTGGTTTACTGATGTTCTCTCTCCCCACAGAGAGGTAGGACCTATTAGTTCTACACCTAATAGACCCAGAGGAGTTTCGGAGGGCGCTCAGGGGTTTGTCTGAGGATCTGATGAGTAATTCAGGTGAGGCCTTAGTTGCTGTCCAGAATAGATAGGTGACAAGGGCCTTGTACTGGATTGTGCCAATGCAGACTCTCACTGTACATCAATCCCATGGATCCATTTGGTTTTCCAAGAAACTTTAGGACAGGGGTCCTCAAACTTTTTAAACAGGGGGACAGTTCACAGTCCCTCAGAATGTAGGGGGGCCTGACTATAGTTTAAGGAGAGGAGGAGAGCCACCGGACCCGGCATACCTATCATGTAGAATAGTCCAGCTCTGTGATCTCCCTCCTCGTGCATTGCCTACAGCCCCGACACTTCCACTTCTGACAGACAGCGGCGGCGGCCAATCAGACGGGCGGGCCAGATAAATGACCCTGGCAGGCCGTATCCGGCCCACGGGCCATAGTTTGAGAACCCCTGCTTTAGGAGATGAAATGTCACAGTAGGTCCCTAGACTGCTGTTGGAGAAAATGAAGAATGAACCTAACCAAGCACTTCTAAGAGCCCACAACAAGGACTACATCATGGCAATAAGGATGCCAAAATATAGCTATTTCTCTGCTGTTATTGCATCCACTGATAGCTGACCAGCAGACATTTTATAGGTTTCTACTGGGAGGAACAAGCCTCAGGACTATCGATTGGGCTATGGTAAAGAATATTCTAGGCATCTAGTGGACTAAGTTGCTCAGATTTAGACTCCAAATGGGCAGGTCCAGTTAAGGTGAGAAAGGCATAGTCTTTCTTGACTACTTGGGAGGAGTTCAATTCTATTAACTCCTGAAGAAATGGACAGGATCCTTGGAACTGTTAACCTGGCCACCTGTTTGTTAGTCTTTGCCCCTCCAAGCTTTATGAAGGTGGCTCAGGAGATTATATGCAGTTGGGTTCATGCTGTGCTATCACCTTCTCTGAAAGATCGAGTGGTTCCACCAACCTATAAGAAAGTAGTCATGCACTCCTTTCTCAAGAAGTGATCACTGGACACAACCATCCTGGACAATATTGGTCCAGTTTCCAATCTACCCCTTTTGGGGAAGGTAACTGAATAGGCGTTCAAACTGCAGCTATACAAGATATTGGATGAAACAGATTATCTGGATCCTTTACAAGTCTGCGTCCATTGGCAGAACCAGGGTGGTGGTGGTGGTGCAACCATCTTGGGCTTCTTAGATCTCTCAGTGACTCTCAATACCATCAGACCAGTTAAAAGGAGTGGGAGCAGGGGCACAGTGCTACAGGTAGTCTTTAACTTACAACTACTCATGTAGTGACCATTTGGAGTTATGACGGCACTGAAAAAACCAGTGACTTACAACTGGTCCTCCCACTTAGGACTGTCACAGCGTCCCCGTGGTCACATGATCAAAATTCAGGTGCTTGGCAACCGGCATGTATTTATGACACTTGCAGCATCCTGGGGTCACGTGATCACCATTTGCAATCTTCCCATCCAGCTTCCAACAAGCAAAATCAATGGGGAAACCATGTGATTCACTTAATGACCACATGATTCACTTAACGACCATATGATTCACTTAATGACCATGGTGATTCACTTAATGGCCACCACAAAAATGTCGTAAAATTGGGTGTGGTCACGTGGTGCCTTGCTTAACAACCACACCACTTAACGACAAATTTTCCAGTCCTTATTGTGGTCATAAATCGAGGATTACCTGCATTGTTGTTCTCCTCCTCTGTGGCCAGTTCTAGTTGGTAGAAGGGGAGACTACAGCTCCCAATTTGTGAGGTATCTCAGAGATTAACGCTCTCGTACCTCCTGTTTAACACAACATCATCAGGGAAGGACTGAGGTAGGGCACTATCAGTACCCTGATGATACTCATTGTACAAGTTAACTCCTGGACTACTAAGCAATGCAGTAAAGATCTTATCCCATACCTGGGAGGGATGGGGAGGTGCACACTCAATCTCCACTCTGAGAAGGTAGAAGGGCTGTAGGAGAATCCCAATTCTGGGGATTTTCTACATTTAGTTCTGAAGGGTTTGCACTGCCATAATCAGGACTGGTATTCAATCTAGGGGTCTTCCTGGGCTCTCTGTTCCTGCTCAAGGAGCAAGTGGCAGCTATGGCCAGGAAGGCCTTTGCAGAGATTCAAACTATATGCCAATTGCTCTTGCTTCTGGACCAGGAGGCCTTCCTCACAGTCACTCACGTCTTGGTCACTTTGTGGGTGGATTATGGCAATTCGCTTCATATGCGGCTGCCCTTAAAGCTACTGATAGTCCAGAACATGTCAGCACAAGCATGTGTGCTGTACTGGTAGCCAACTGGTTTCCAGGTGCAATTCAAAGAGCTGATTATCATCTATAAAGCTCTAAATGACATACAGCCTACCTATTTGCTTGGTCAGCTAGCTTTGGGTGGCATCAATTAAGCAATGTTTTTTAACAGGAACCAAGAAGTGGACCTTCTCTGTTTCTGCACCTGTCCTTTAAAACCGCCCCCACCTTGTCTGAACACAAAGTGATCTTTAAAAATCCAGTTTTCCCTCCCCCGGGCCTTGGATTAAGATATAGGGGGGCAGCGATGTGGAACTCTCTCATGGGAGGCTGTATTTTTATATAATACTGTTTCTTTTAACTTTATGAAGCTGCCCAGATTCATTTTGGAGACGGGTGGTCTAGAAATTTCACAAATAAAAATCAACTGATTGATCAATAAACAATGTGTTCACCCCATTATTTTTTAAGCTGCAAATGCTTACTTCTATGGTGTAATATCAGAATATTCACTGCTCTATTATGAAATATCACATGCAATGTGATATGTGCTTTTTAAGTTTAGAAGTAATTGAAATATTTTCATTGTATAACAGCTTTTAGCCAAATGTATCAGACAAGAGACAGTTCCTTTGGGGTACTACTTTTTCAAACTATTGCCAAGGTAACCTTGAGATTTTCCAGGAAACCAACAACAACAACAAACTGTTGTCTATGTCTGTGTGGGAGGCGCAGACACACTGGCACTGCATTATACCAGGCAGGAGACTGGAAAGCTTTTAAATTCTCTCAATGGTTTACAAGACTGAAACAATATATGAATTCAGCAAGTGAATAATACTGAAGTATTATATGATTCGCACTGTTAACATACACATGAAAAAAATTAAAAGGCGTTATTATTTTCAAAAGTCTATGAAATTATGAAAACCTATTATGTTTTTCATCACGGTAAAGAAATGAGATATGCATCCAGAAACGTACAAATTTCAGTTAAAATGTATCAGATAGTCTGAAACATTAGATCACATTCATTTGTAAATCTATACATTTCAAATACAGACTGAAAAGCACATGCACATGCACGCACACATATCTGAAAAAGATTCCAAAGACAACAGCCTTTAGAAAAATAATGCTTTTAAAAATTGTTTAAAGTTAGTGCAGTTTTAAGTCACTTTTCTGTTTTTCTTTTAAATGCAGTGCAAGTTTCAACCAGAGAGGGAGTTTTGCTCTACCCTAGCCTGCTGCCAGGCACAACAGACACAGAAATGTGGGTGAAAGAGAGAGAGAGAAAACCCACACATATTCTTTAGCACTGTCTTGTCAATTGTTCAAACACAGGCAGTCCTGTCTTTTGCGCAAGCCTCTCCCCTCCGCCACCGCTCCTCGCCCTTGCCCGGGTCAGACCATCACTTTGCGTCCCCTCCCCACTCACAACTACCGCCAGCGTCTTTTTCGGCTACAAGCTCTAAGTCATTCTACCTCAAATGACCTCCCTCGCAATCCCAGCCCGCCTCCCTCCTTCCCACCGAGCGCAGCACTCCTCGCCGCTCACGTCTCCCTCTTACAACATCCCCAGCCGCGAAACGGCGCTTCTCCCACCACACCGCAAGCGCGCTCCGAGACCCAAATCAGACCCCGTCCCCGCTCAGCCTCCCCGCGGCGCCCCGCACCCACAGCGGGAGCGCTCTCGCCCCCGGAAAGCACCCAGCGCGCCCACTCACTCCGGAGTTCAGCCGGACCCCTCTGCCAAGCCGGCCGCTGACACTCCAACCTTGACGGCCGCGCGGAGACAATGAGGCGCCGCTTCTCCTCTCCGCTCCCCCCGCGGCGGCGCCCCCCCCCCCGCCCGTCAGACGACTCGAGCCGCCGGTCTCCGCCGCCGCAGCACGGACGGACGGACTCTCCGCCAAAGGCCCCGCTGTCCCGGCGTGGCTCTCGTGCCGTCCCGTGGCCCATTCGCTCGCCCGTGTCCCTCATCTTCCCCTCCCCGGCTTACCCGGACCGAGTCTTCATCTTGCCCAGCCGCCGCCGCCGCCACCGCCGCCGCTGCTTTGGCACTAGTCCTAGACAAGCGGGTCCTGGATGAGATGAAATGGCTGGCGGGGCCCCGGACCGTCGCCGCCGCTTTCCCGGAGAGACGTTGAGATTGGGAGCTCTTTCGGGTGTTCACCATGGCCTCACTTCAGCCACCCCGGGAAGGGCGGCGCTCTCGCTGGCTCCACCGCCTCTGCTCTGGGGAGCGACGCCGCTGCTGAGCCAAGAACAAGGGCCCGAAGGCGCGGAGCGCTCCTCCTCCTGCTCAGCTCAGTCACCCACACTAACTGGCCGCCATTACTCGTTCTCTCGTCCCTTTCTCTCCTCGGTCACCGCGAAGCCTCCCACTTCCACTGCGAGGCGCTGCTCCGCCGCCGCCTCTCATAGGGCCGCCTCTTCTTCCACCTCCTCCCTACACCTGGCAACATAGAGATGGAAAATGATGAGAGCGTGACATACAGCCTGAATTTCCGGTGAACATTGAAAGCCGTCATAGGCCTGGGGTATCTATGGGCCCGAGTGGCGTCTCCCTAGCCTCCAGCATCTCTATGATGAAGGTCCTCTATATGCATTGCATTGCCAGCTAGAGGGGGAAACCGGTCAAGTTTTAGGCCGGAAGTGTCTGTAGGGACCGCTCTGATGTTTGCTATGGGTGATGCAAATACTTGTGACGCTCTCACACGGCGTGCTCTATGGTTCTTTTAAACGGGGCGGGAGGCATAAAGGTGAGGGTGGTTGGAGGCTTGTATGTGCTTAGGAGTGAGTCTCTTGAGACTGAACGAAACTGCTAAATAAATGGATTTCGGAAAGCAGGATAACTAACCGTGATTGAGTATTTACTTTCCTCGGAATGGAGAAAGTGGCGAATCTGGTTAAAAAGGATTTCTTCTTAGAAAGGCATGTCTTAATCCGTAAGTAATGGAAATGCTTCACACGTTTCATTCCATTTATTCTTCCGCAAAAAGGATTGTCATCAGGAGAGTAGCGAAGCGGGTATCTCGATGTTTATGCTTCTTGCTAATTAATACGAGATAATGTGCTGCACTCCCCAGAAGTCTAGTCACAAAAGTCTGATTATACTTCGCCTATAAATCTCCTTTTAAATGTCGGATATATTTTGTTTTCTAATTTAAATTGATACCTTATACAAAATATGCATTTGCATACTAAATTGATTTGGACCACTATATTATCTCCTTTAATTTACATGCCAATCACAGTTTGTAAAATTAACTTGGTTCCTAAAGTAAGGATGAAGCTGTGTGCAGGTTTGTCTGGCACTAAGTCCTACTGAAAATTACAGTATGTAACAGTTATGGGATGGGGAACAAGAGGAATAGGTTCTCAGGTTACCTTTCAGCTAGTTTCTTGAATCTTAAAATTATGTGAAGACTTGCTTCTGCTTGTTTGTACAATATGCTAAGCCAAAATATGGTGTGGTTGTTTGTGGTTTAGCACATTCCATTGATCCATCTGATTGTGGCTTATTCAATAACCATGCATCACGTAATGCTTTGGGTGAATATAGTCAAAGTAAGGCAACATAATTTTCAGTCAGCCTGCTAGGAGAAACTGCTTTAAATTGTTTGAGGCATGTCTAATGGGAGTATTGGGTTTGTTTGCAGGACTGGCAAATGGCCTAGTTCCCTCCCTTTAGGGGATTAGCTGATTGCCCTCAACAGCAGACTTCTGAATGACAAATAACTGTGGCTGTTCAGGGAAAGGCTTACCTTCCCCATTCTCATTGGGAATGATATCATCACACTTTGTGCAAAGATCTGTTATTTGGAGAGCAGGCTGAGAAAAGGTGGAGAATGGAGTTATTTATTATTTTTTCAGGCTCTCAATGACTCTGAGTGGTACACATTCCAACTTCCGTAAATTGGGTGGAAAACAATACAATAAAGAGAGACCAAATCAATATTACACAACTTATATATTAAACCAGGAGTGTTCATCAACATAAACAAAAATCAAAAGACCTTCCACTACTAGACACACAGTAGCAAGATTACGACATTCCAGCCCCCAGGTCCTGATGGAATAATCATATTTTAATGGCCTTTTTAAAAACCAGGAGAGAAGGGGCCATCCAATTATCTGGAGGAATGTTGTTCTACAGAAGGAGGGCAGTGATTGAGAAGCCTCACTTCTGGGGTCCCTGGAGATGGCATTCCCTGAACAAAGGGACTTAGAGACACCCAACCTACCAGATCCAGTGAGAGGGGCAAATACTATTAGGAATATATAATCCCATACATATCCAGGTCCTGAGCCATGAAGGTGACAACTAACACCTTGAATTGCACTCAGAAGCCAACTAGGAACTAGTGCAGCTCTCAAAGTATTGATGTTACATGGGCAAATCAAGGAGCACCTGTATAATTACTGAAGCCACTACATTCTGGACCAGCTGTAGCTTCTAAATTGCCTTCAAGGGCAGACCCATGTAGAGCACATTGCACTAATTAAATTGAGCAGCAGCTGAGTAGAGCTTCCCATTCCAGGAAGGGTTGTTACTGCCACACCTGATGGAGATGTGCAAAGATCTTCCTAATCACAGCTACCACCTGCTCATTGAGCAGGAGCTGTGAATCCAGGAGGACCCCAATGTTATAAGCCAATTCCACCTGGGAACATGACCCCATTTAGAATTAGAGATGGTATTTTTCCGGAAAGGGTTGGCTTCTGAAGCCAAAACCACTCCACCTTGCTTAGATTATATCTGAGCCTTTCTTCCCCAACCAGACCCTAATAACCACCAGACCTCTGAAGAGCCCCTCAATATCATCAACTGTTTGGCCAAGTGTCAAGATTTAAAGTTAAGTATCATCAGTTGTGTTAGCAAACAACCTCACTCAGAGGCTTCAAGTGGAGGTTAAATACAAATGGGAAGAGTGTTGAACTCTGCAGCACCACACAACTGGGGAACTTGGGTCTGATCTCTCTACCACTGATTAGAACCACCTCTTTAGAAAGGGGGAGAACTACTGCAGTGATTAAAGTAGTGTCCCTACTTCCAACCCTCTTCCAACCCTCAGAGGCAGTCCAAAACAATACAGTATGTGTGTACACACACACACATGTATACAGGTAGTCCTTGACTTACCATGGCATTTGGGACTGGAATTGCCATCACTAAATGATGCAGTCATAGAGCATGACCTCATTGCTTAGTGATGGGAATCCCTGCAGTCCTGGTTGTTGTCATTAACTGAGTCCTACAGTCATTAGGTGGGGAAGCTGGCAGGAAGTCGCAAGTCCAAGGCCCGCAGGCAGATAAGTGGCTACTGCCGGGTGGGGGAGGAAGCGAGGCGGTGCCAGGGGGCGTGGGGGAGGGTATGTGAGAGGCACTGTGCAGGTTGGGGAGGGTATATGGGGGTGCATGAGAGGTGCGTGGGTCAGGGAAGGTGTGCAGGGGTGTGAGGGGGATGTGAGAAGTGCAGCGCAGGGCGAGTGCATAAGAGTGGGGCACGGGCCAGGCAGGGTGCATAGGGGTTTGACTTTCTGGGGAAGTCGGCATGGAAGGTTGCAAATGGTGATTGTGATCACAGGGCACTTGGCAACCGGTCATAAGTGCAAACAGGTTGCCAAGCACTCAGATCACAATGAGGGTGCTGGGATGGCCATAACTCCAAGGACCAGTGGTAACCACCATTCATTCAGTGCTATCGTAACTTCAAATGGTTGCTGAGCAATGGTCTTCAGTCGAGGACTACCTTATACACGCATATATTAGTATACTATATAATTCAATGGTATTGAAGGGCATGAGACACCATGTAATATTAGGAGTGTCACACTCCCTGACCCCAGTCTCCCCAAAAGTCATCCACAAGTGCAATCAGTGTTGTCTTGGTGATGTACCCAGGCCAGAAACCAGACTGAAATGGATACAGATAATCTGTTTCTTCCCAGGCACTCTGCAGCTGCAGTTGGCCCGTGAAGAATCCTAGAAATCTGACTGTAGCTGCAGGGAACTTTGGTTACATCTGCCAGAAAATCTAATGTAACACTTCCCCCTATTCTTGTTAGATAAATATGTATACATACATATTTTTGAACACCAGTAAATTTATTCTGAATCAAACCAAAAACAGGTAAACATTGCAAATTCCGTGTCTAGAGTTGAAACATTTATTCCAAGAGGGAAATTAACATGGCAAATAGGTGAACATTCTGGACTACGAAGTATTGGAGGACCAAATCCAGCTCCTTTACAAAGAGCAGGAGCATTTCCTTCTTTCTTTTGCTGTGAACTTTTATTTTTCTTAAACTGGTTTTTCTAAGTCGTTTGCTCCCTCTCTTTGAATGTGGGCTCTATTATTTATTTATACTGTACATGCTTCCCCTGGCCACTGCAGTCTTCCCAAGGCAATTTGCAATACTGTATCAACATACTGCAATATTAAAAGTTTGTAAGTTATCTTCAACTTAAAATTCAACAAGAGAATACATTTCTATATATTTATTTAGAGACTTTAACAATAAGCAAGCTTAGCCTATCTATATTATACATAATTTTGTAATACCGTTGAAAAGTATCTTAGGAGAGAAAATAGAGCACGGTGACTTAAAAAGTACTCAGATTATGCTTTCATTATGCGGAATCTCCTTGGACTTTGTTCTTTGAGAACTCATAAAGGCTTTGACTGCATTTAGTGTACTGTATATACTTTCAGTTAATCCTTGAATGTCCCAAAGGAACTCTAGAGGCAATTCTCTCCCTCATTGCTCTTGGCATATTTATGAATCATCTGTGTCACTTGCTTCCCTGAAAACAGTGGTACTACACAGAAACTTACTAGGGGTTGCCAGAATAACCAACCTAATGAAAGGTAATATCAAAATAAAGCTGTAGGCAAAATGTATTAAAAACTCCTGTGGAGTTTACAAGATAAATGAGTCAGGAATCTTGGGCTACAGAATGGGCTATATGAGAATCATGGGTGTTTGCTTAGTTTTTATGGATTGCTTTTAAAGTTGCTGCCTTATTTTCTTAAGGTTTTATATTTTGTTTTGTATTTTAAATGGTTATCTAGTGGTGATTTCATGTTATTGGAAAGCACTTCTACTCGTGCAACACAAGGCATCCAATTTTCACCAATCGGCCCTAATCAATTAAGTTACATTACTTTGAACTTAATCGTGCAACGTTTTGAGTCTCTATTCTCAGTGTCAGTTTTCGGAAGTAAGGAAGCTATAGTATGGATTACTTTTTCATATGGGAAGGTGATTTACACATAAAACCACTATTGGATATAATATTGCTTGGGAGGGAGGGATATGTATGTGCTGTAAATCATCTTGAGTATTAGACAAATTACTAAAAAAAGTTCTAAATAAATAAATCTGTACGTTGAACAATGGATAAAATATTGGTTAAAATGATTTGTCCTTTTCTGCTGAATAAAGCAAATCATCAGAGTTTTAAGAAAATCCAAATTATCTTTCCAAAACTAATTCTTGCATGCTTCCTCAGTTTTTTGGCATATCAACATTTTGATTTGAATTGGAAAATCAAAGAAATGTTCATAGGGGGGTTCATTTTTATAAATGAAGGAGCAGTTACATCATGTAATCAAGCTACCTATTTTATATCTTTGTATTTTCATCGATGTAGAAGAGTCTGGTGTGTCTATGTGCCATATATGACCTGTACTTGTCATTGAACTGGGTAGATCTGCAATTGTCTTGGATGGACTTTGCACTGATGTGTTTCTCATGAAGTTGTGTCTTAATTTGTACATGAATGGTACGGGTCTAGTTTTATTCATTTTTAAATTTCAAAATTTAAAATTAAGACAGTAAAGCAGCATAGATTACAAAGTATATAAAGAGATTTTTCTGGTGGGTGTGTCCTTGAACAGAATTCAGCCCAGAACAACCCAAGGTAAAAAAGATATCCACATTTTTTCACTTTCTTTCCCCCACCATAGCCCCCAGTACCATCTCCCTTAATATTATGTATAAGTTTTCCCAAACGGGGGTGGGGGGGGAGAGATAGAGGAGACGAGAGAGAGAGGAAGTTTCTTTCCTGTTAAGCCAGGCTTTGCTGGATCAATTCCCCCACCAATATGGAAAGACCTTTTGCCCATAGAAAGCTTTTGTTGGTTTCCTGACATTATCATCACTTTCCTGCCCCGTCTATTTTTTATTATGTCTCTTTTTCATCCATATCTTACCTAGAAGCATCCTTAATGAACAGTTCTTAGAGTAAAAATGCAGTTTAAGACTTTGGCGCCGCTATCTATGCAGTATCCCTTAGCTCTACAGATCAAGGCAGTAAAGACCAGGCAAGTCATATCAGTGAAGCCATCTACTTAATGTTAATTTTCTCTTGCAGAGATATAGGATTTGAGTCTTTGTTTATATTACTCTCCCTCTCCGTCACTCCCTTTGTTTTCTGAACTTTATTCACATGAAATTCTCTAACATATGTTCTGCAAAAACAAGTAGTATGTATTGAAAAAAATGCCCAGAAGCCCTTTAAGGATTGGAATCCCTACAAGAGCATTATGAACATGTGGGGAAGCATTTTTCTGAGCAGCTTAGAAACTTACTGCTACCCACTGGTCAATATTTGTCCTGCTTGCCTCCAGTCTGCGTTTTGTTCTCAAACAGATGCATCTTTAAATTTCAGGTTGGAAAATTACTTCCCATTATTATGTAAGATTTTCATTTTTTTCCCCCCCATTGATGAATAAACAACAGTATGAATCTTTATTTATTTATATTCCAAATTTCGATACCACCCATCTCACAAAAAGTGTCTCTGGGCAGTTCACAATAAGACAGCAGTAAATATTAATTAAAATAAAATAAAAACAATATAAAATACAATACAAATAGAATAAAAACCAAACACATATGCAAATAATATCTTCCAAGAGGTTGATGATCAGTAAGGTGTTAACATATGGGAGCATCTTCAAGGTGCTAGCCCCCCCCCCAGGGTTGGTTGCCCCTTTTTTCACCCCATGCCAGTTGGCAGAGCCAGGTCTTGACT